GTATAAATTAAGCATGGAATAGAAATTACTGTCATTATATGCCAAAATATATTGACAATTTTTTCTTTTCCCCCAACATATTCACACAGTCTATGAAAGAGAAATACACAATAGTGTACTTAACATGAACACTAACAGGAAAATTTGATTTGAGAACAATGTAGTAAATGTACAATGCTAAGCAGTTGGTATATATATTTGTTGGTTTTATGCGAAGGTCTTATATAATAAAATATTTTTTAACAACAAATTTTGTAACTACTGCTCAAAGGGAAAGTAGTAAGTTCTGCAAATTAGATATCTGATTTTTTATACTTATACACATTATTTTTGTTATTTTTGTTTTCTGTAAATATCTCCAAAATACTTATCAACATCAATTCACATACAGGCAATGTATGTTAGTGGATCAGAATTTTATAGTAAAATGTGCCTTGCTATAAATGATTTCTTGAATTGGAGAACAATGATTTTGTTAGAAGCCCTAATAGAAAAATTGTGTATAAGTGTCAAGAATATGCTAATAAAATTAAATTTATAGGTGGATACAATCAGCTAGTGGCAAATGGTAGCAATGAAAATATTTAGACCTCTGGACTTGGCCTCTGTCTCTTATCCCATATGCTAACTCCTCTTTTGTATATGTTTACATCATTATTTTTGATCAGAGTTGATATGTTCACAGTCGATGTAGTTGATGAATTATAGAGTCTAACTTAGAGGAACAAAAAACTACCATTTCATTATGTTAATGTGATTTTTTGGACCAGATTTTTACTCCTGGAGTCATGTTCATCTGTGCACAGAAACTTGTGTGGGGTATTCAGGCATTAATATTACACTGCTATTTGATTCCAAATAAGATCATTCATGTCTATAGTGCCAAATGTAAGAAGTTTGTCAATTTTATGTTTCTTTTTTTTTTGCTTTTGACATTATTCACTATTTTTTATTTCTGCTTCCACTCTTAGTCATGTATTGTCTACACATATAAATAAAAATATCTTCTTTTTCCAATACAGTGCTTGAGCTTTTCTTGACATCTTTGCCTGAATGTCTAACTAAGGTCTCCTTTTATCTCAGTATTGTTCTTTGTAATCTATAGTGGTTCATACAGTTTAAACCATATGATAATTTATTTCAAGTATAATTTTAAGTTTAATAATTTAATATTTATGACAATAATCAATGAGTTAAATGGTATCTTTTACTGTTTTATCAACTTTTTGAGATACTCATTGAAAAAAGTGATTTTGAAGGACATACTCGATGGCAAAATTCTATTTATATTAACACTTAATGAAAGAGACAGGATTTCCTACTATGTACTTCTATTGATGTCAATAAATAAGTTACAGGAAAAGACTAATTCTTTTTCATTTTTCCAATGTCTAGTATGATACTGACACTACATATATAGAATGCAACTTTACTAAAGTAATATAGTATAGTTTCAATTATATACAAACTTTATGGAATATTTTCTGAATATTAAATCTCAAATTGATGGACCTGAAGACTTAGAATAATGACAGCCACATACTTCTCATCTTGGGGAAGGAAATTATAAATACCAAAAAGGAATAAAAGTTATAGAAATCTATAGTTTAGGGTTGCTATATAAAACTTCAGTGAACTCCAGTTCCATCTGTTGATTTGTTGATGCAAACAAACAACACTGTATTGGAACTGGAGTTCACTGGAATTTTTGTTGATGCAACAAAAATATAGAAAATAATTGATACAATGTGAGTATGTCTATATGTGTGCAAATGTGCTTGGGTGTGATTGTATTTCCTAATGCTTTGTCCTCTGGTGGACATACTTGTAGTAATTCTCCAATATCATAATCCTAAAAGATACCTTAATCTTTGTTTTGATGAACAAATTATAATATGGGCAATATGGAATGGTAAGTTTGATGTATTCTGAAAGCATGAGTTCCTGGCCTCAAACTCAAAATTCCCCCTCCTATGGTGAAATACACTGATGCAACTCATGTAAACTCTCTGTGTCTTGATTTCCCAATTGGGTCAATGAGAACAACAATAAAATCTTTCTAGTGGTATAATGTTGAACAAAAGAAACAAGTACATGTGTAGCTCTTAGTAAATAGGCAGACACATATTGATTGTTATGTAACTGTTAAACCACTTATGACTATCATAATAAGCAAAATACAACTTGAAATGATGACTTTATTCAAGAAATTTAATTTGAACATCAAAGGGTAAAATTTGAATATAAATTATTCCTTACATTGGCCAATGTATTGAGAAATTTTGAATTGTTACAATAATTAGTAATTGGAGAATTACTACAAGTATGTCCACCATATGTGGACATTATAGAAGAGAAAATGAAATATGAAATTATAATTTTAATGATAAATTTTTAAAATTTTGTATTATACTTACTGAAAACTTCCTACATAGAGGCATTATTTTATTTGTAAAATAAAATTAAAATAGAGAAAATAAAGTAAAAATCAAGCATCCCTGCTGAAGTCATGCTGCATCAGAGAATAGAATGCAGGGGAGGAGGCGACAACTACGGTTAATCACTATGATGTTATCAAACAGTTTCTACCAACATGGGTTTGTGCTTAAATATTTCATTTTTAGAAATTTTCTTGTTAGGAAACCAGAGGCTAATGACTCTGTCATGAATCTGCTTGGTCTTCACATCATACACCAGTGGGTTGACCATGGGGGACACCAGGAGATACAAACTTGCAAAAATGATCTGAACACTTGGAGGTCTGAGTTGCTCTCTATGGTGGCTGAACATGTCTGTTGTCCCTCCACTCATGCAATAAGCAATTACATTACTTTTATTCTCAAATTCCTAGCATTTATAAATTCGATTTTACCTACTGTCATATGGGATTTAAGTATCTTTTTATTTCCACTTCCACCCACTTTAGCAAAGAGTTGGAGCTTATATTACTGTATTGAAGAACTTTTTGCTGCCCACTGTTGTGTCTTTTTTATAAACTGGTGGTTTCTAAACTTCAGTTTCCTATTAGAGAATATGTATTTTTACTTCATTCTCCAGGAAGTCTTCATTTTATTTTCCTTCCTAATTTGTCGGTTGGAATTAATGAGCTGAAATCTCACTGTTGTTCTAATCTTGTACTTATAAAAATTATTCTTCTGGCCCTCCCTGGTGGCGCAGCGGGTTAAAGCACAGCACTGAGAATCTAAAGCCACTTCCGCATGAATTCGATTCCCGCCTGCCCCGGAGGTGACCACATGGAGTGGCAGACCTCTCCTGACCCGCCCGCTGCTCCCCTCAGCAGTGTACTTCGTTGATCTGGCTGTTCTGCTCCCCACTCTGTCTCTGGTGAAGCCTCTCACCACCCCTGAGCCTCTGGCCTGCACCCCAGTTGTGTATGCACAAATAAATAAATCTTTAAAAAAAAAATTATTATTCTGTGTTGAAACTATTACTAAAATTGCTGATATATCATTAATAATTACTTTTATAAAGTTTATTCACTATAAATTATTCTATTAATCCATTGAGTATTTGTTGCTTACTAATAGAATATACTTTAAGGTTTGTTCTTAGAAGTTTAACAGTCAGTAATATGTTTTGAATCATAGTAGGCCACAATAATTGACATAAAATTTTAAAAATGCTGGGCAGAATTCACTTCTACAAAAACACACAAGTACTTTGTTCCATGATGAGTCATAAATATAAAGTACAATCTATAATTTTCCAAAAATGTTCAAGCAATATAAAAATCAGTGTTTAAATTATTATAGTAAAAAAAAGTCATACATTTTGTGTCACATTTTCTGAAAAATCTGTCTATAAGTTGCTCTTTTAAAATTACTCATGTGAGTGTGGGTTCTCTGAGAAGCAGATGTTAGGATGGTATTAAATATATGAAAAGAAGACTAGAAATTCATGAACCATAGGGGAAGAAATAGAGAGAGTCTGAAATACATGACAGGGAGAGTGAAGGAAAGAACTGTGTAGGAAGAGTCTCAGACAACAGCACTATCCTAAGAAAATTCTGAGTAGGCTAATGGGGAGTTCTCGAGTAGTTCTCGAGTCAGCCTCAGGTCTCACACACAGAGAGAGGAGTCAGCCTGCGTGCTCATGCGCAGTAGAGGCACCCTCTCAAATTGGTTGGGTTAATTTGACTTCAGGAGGAACTCACACGAGCTGCAGCTGGGATTTTAGTTTCACCAGCAAGTGACCCAAATGATGCATTTCCTTGTCCATTACATCATCCTGTGGAAGTCTTCAGATTTTTTGATAATATTTGACAAAGACCGTTAATAATAATTTTCATTCCGCCAGATTTTAACTACATATTTGAAAACTATCATGAATCATGTTATGAGGTGAAAGAATATGTGGCTTAAAACCAATACAGTAGCCTTCTCATTCCCAATTTCCATGTCGGTGAGTTTTGGGTCTTTGGGCCCACTTTTTTCTTTGTTAACAGAAATACCATCGTTTGCAAATGTTGTTAGTGATATTCTCTCTATATCGGACTCTTCCAAGGCATCAAAATGACCTTCTAGTAAGTGTGGCTAACGGGATATGTGACAGGTTCAGGACTTTCCTCATTGAGAATCTGCTTTTCTCAAAGAATGATGCACAAGGGGTGATCTTGTCACACACAGGGTGACCCTCCGGAATGCCACCATGCATCCAACATAGCCATGATGCCAATATGAGATAATGATCTTGCCCAAGTACTCGGAGGTATTGGAGAAGCATTTCTAGCCCATCAAGTCTGGCTGTACAAACACATATTTTATCTCTATGCTCTACTGCCTATTAAAATAAGAAGCATGGGGCTCTCCCTGGTGGTGCAAGTGGTTAAAGCACCGCAGAATGAAGCTCTCAGAAGCCACTGAAGCATGAGTTTGATCCCCAGCCAGGCAGCTGACCCACAAGGCCAGGCAGACCTCTCATGACCCGCCCCCTGCTCCCCTCAGCAGCAATTTTTCAGTTGCCAGAATATAAACAGGTCTCTAAATTATAGCATTGGGCTCCAAGGACTTGATTCGCTCCTCCCGAGATGCAATAGTCAAAACTGAGTGCAAGATCAAAATGTAGGATATGAGGATGAGGACAGCATCCAACAACAAGGTGCAAATTACCAGGGCCAGGGCATAGAAGCTGTTGAAGCGGATGTCAGAGCAGGCCAGCCTGAGCAGGTCCTGGTGCAGGCAGAAAGAATGGGAGAGGATGTGGGGGCGGCAGTAATGGAAGAACTTCAATCAACAAAAAGTTCCTCCCTAGTATAGCCACACCAATGTGGATGATTCTGGTATTGGTGAGGATGGAAACATATCTCAGAGGATTGCAGATGGCAGTAAAACGATCAAAGGCCACATCTGTGCAGTGTTGGTTTTCTATATCCCAATCATTGGTCTGACCATGGTACACCGCTTTGGAAAGCAGCTGTCACCTGTGGTCCATGTCCTCATGGGCAACATCTATATCCTTTTCCCACCATTGATGAACCCTATCATCTATAGTGTCAAGACCCAACAAATCCGTAGCAGGATCCTGAGATGGTTCACCAAGCAAAAGTAAATGTGTTTTAAGGAAGGGAAGGTTGTAATTGCAAGATGAAAAACTGTGATTTATTGTAGCAGTTATAATAAATTCACATATATTTTATAAATTAAAGACATATTTGAGAACACTTTTTAAATTTAGTATCCCAAAGCAAGGAAAAAAGTTACAGACCTTATTTCCTTGTTTTGAAATTAAATACAGTGAATTAAGGTGCATTAAATTCTGGGGCCTGTCAGTGAGTATTTTTTAACTATTGTTAAATTTGTGGTAAAATTCATGTTTTATGAAATACATTTAGAGCACAATTTTATGTGTTATGTTTCATGTAACTATTAAATGTTTATTGTATATGACACAGACTTTATAATTTATCACCAGCTGACTCTGTTGAGATTATTCATATATTTTTACATGCAATTGAGTAAACATGCCCTCAAGTCCTTTTCTGTTTTGCTAATATCATATATTGTATTAGTAGATTAGATTGTATAGTTTAGTAGAAAAGGTTTGGTGAACCATAATACTGAGTTGGCTATCATATCTCTGCATTCTCAAATACACACATTTGTAAATTGCAGTACACAAAATAGTTCAGAATCGGGGCCCTCCCTGGTGGTGCAGCCAGTTCAAGCACAGCACTAAGAAACTAAATCCTCTTCTGCATGAGTTTGATCCCCGCCTGCCCTGGAAGTGATCCATATGGTGCAGCAGACCTCTCCTGACCCACCTGCTGCTCCCCTCAGCAGTATACTTCATTGTCTTGCCTGTTCTGAGACCCCCCCTCACTCTATCTCTAATGAATCTCCTCACTGCCCCCTGAACCTCTGGCCTGTACTCCAGTTCTGTATGTATAAATAAAATGTTTCCCAAAAAAGTTCAGAATCTTCCTGAACTTGTCAATCTACTTTAATTTTAGTATAAACATACATGGAATTTTGATTTAGTTTAATTTAATTTGACCAACCCTTTTACTTTTTATGATATAATTTTTGGGCACAGAGATTATTATTTTTTTTAAAGATTTATTTATTTATTCATACAGAACTAGGTTACAGGCCAGAGATGTGAAGGGTGAGAGGATTCACCAGAGACAGAGTGGGGAGCAGAACAGGCAGATCAATGAAGTACACTGCTGAGGGGAGCAGTGGGTGTGCCAGGAGAGGTCTGCTGCACCATGTGGATCACCTCCCGGGCAAGGGGAGATCAAACTCATGTGGAAGTAGTTTATGCTTCTTAGTGCTGTGCTTTAATCTGCTGCGCCACCAGGGAGGGTCCCCGCACAGAGATTATTTTTTAACTAAAACATTATAAGCTAAAGTGTGGATAGAATTATGATTTTGAGAATTTTTCTGTCATAATTAAAATACATTGTGTATAAAAAGTAGAGTTTTCATTGAATAAAATGTTTTCATGTATATTGTAAGTCATATTTTGAAGGAACAATTGCTATCAGAGTTAATCAAGGGTAACAAAATTGTCCTGATTTTATACAATGTTAAACTGGGTTTGGGAAAATTTAAAATTTTTGTATATGTTGAATTTTATAATATCTCTAAGAAAATATTTTGACCAATATCATGCTTTTATAAATCTAAGTTTCCCCTTAGATTTTTACTTTAAAAATTGACAGAAAACACATTGACATGAGCCTACTTAAGAGCACAACACAATAGTGAAAAGGAAGAGCTTTGAATAAAACTGATTCATGTAGTGTCAAAGTTAAATTTATGTGTTTACATGTTTATACTTTATTTTAATTAAGTACACTGATAACTTAGAATTTAAATTCATTACATGTGAATGTATATATCCATGTATAGAAGTGTATTTGTAGTTACATATGCAAATGCTTACTTAGAGAATCCTCCTAATTCATATATTCTAATTTGTGGATTCACCATCTTGTTAAAATTTATTTGAAGTGGGCCCTCCCTGGTGGCGCAGCGGGTTAAAGCACAGCACTAAGAAGCTTAAGCCACTTCCGCATGAGTTCGATCCCCGCCTGCCTGCCCCGGAGGAGATTCACATGGTGTGGCAGACCTCTCCTGACCCGCCCGCTGCTCCCCTCAGCAGTGTACTTCGTCGATCTGCCTGTTCTGCTCCCCACTCTGTCTCTGGTGAATCCTCTCACCCTCCGCATCTCTGGCCTGTACCCCAGTTCTGTATGAATGAATAAATAAATCTTAAAAAAAAAATTTATTTGAAACCCCCAAATCAATAGCCCAAACAGTTCTACCATCATTATTAGATCTGTCAGGCCGCCAAAATAATGTGAATTTTCCAATGCACCTCTTCCTCATCAAGAATGGATAAGTTGTTCAGCTCTTATACTGTAAATGAGTATCTTTGTGTGGCCTATTAAATGTTATTTTCAATTTTTTGTGGTTTTTCATTGAGGAGTTCCCTTTTATTCAATAGCCCCAAGCATGGTGCTGGACTTTTCTAGTGTTTTTAAATACAAGGCTGTAATTTGCCTTATAGAGAAAATGAATTGCTATATAAATTTCTTCATATCATGTGTTGTGCTGATTGTGAGTGCTATATTAACAAATCAAAAATACTATCTATCGAGAAACTGGAGCAGAAAGTTTGTCAAAATGTATATGAGGCTGCTTTGTAAAGTAGTATACACAATATGTGATAAAACTATGGGAAAATGGAAAAATGGCTGGATCTGTGAATGATAGATTATAGTAGACAGAACTGTCATAAGGCTGAAATCCAAAAAGCTTACAGATGCATTATACATGATCAGGAAAATATTAAACCCTTCCCAGTTAATGTTTTATTATAATAAAATGCTGCATGTAATTCATTGTTTATAATAAATGTATATTATCAGCTTTAATACATATTAAAATTCCTTTAAATGCAAATATGCACATAATGATTATATATTAATTGGTTGATGAAAGGTGAGCAAAGTCTCAAAGGAACATAGTGTATTTTTCCAAAGGACAAATGGTTCAGAATTTACTAATACAGTATTTACAATGACTTTACATAAATTAACTGCAGCAAACATGATAATAAACTCTGTGCATATATATTATTTTATTTCTATAAACATACAGATATATAAAATATTTATGCAGCAAAAAAGCACCTATATAAGTGCACACACAAAAATGTTGATTTAATCATTAGTATATTTTTAAAATACTTATTGTAAGAAAAATAATTGAATTGCTATATTTCTATGGTAGTCTATGTAAATTATAGTTTTTAAATATGAATGGAGCCCAATGCTATAATTTAGAGACCTGTTTATATTCTGGCAACTGAAAAATTGTTGCTGAACAATATTCATGATGTGAACTATGATCTCATTTTTATTTGAAATAGCTGTATGTATATTCAGGCATCCCCCCCACAAACACCAAATGCCTAAATATCACAACCTTTAATAAGTTCTGATGAGGGTAAGAGAGAGCAGAATAAATATTTTACAAGGTTCAAGTATTACATAATAGAAGGTATCATTTCCATTTAAATATATATGCACATACATCATTTATTCAAAGGAAAGTATTCTGTAGCTTTTCATAGGATGTGAAATAATTTTAACTTAATTATACATGGCATCACAACAATATTGTACATATTAAACAATATAAATTTTGTGATTGGAAGCTTCTGAGCATAACAAGAAGTATTGAAAACAAAAATAAGGTAAATAAAAAGTTTATAAAATCTAAATTATAACTCTAGAAGCAAAGATTCACTTAAATAAATAAGTTACATACAAAAGAAGTTAAAAAGTATTAGGGGACTTCCTTGGTG